CTCTTTCATGTTTCAAAGGATGTATAAATTAATGAGGGTAGATTATCAGTAATATACATTTTAGTCTCTTTATGGGTGCTAGAAGTATATAACAAGAAATTGATTGACTTATCTGTTTCAACTTTACAGCATGTTTTGTTTTCCTTTCCTTCCCCAGTCTTCACTTTTTCTTTCTTTCTAATTGTGTTTCTGCAATCTCTTTCCTTGGTTGCAGAAACTTTTCTCTTCATTCCCCCACCACTCCTTTTTCCCTCTTTGAAAGTGTGATTCCTCCCATAACAGTATGCACAGAGTTCATGCTTTTTACTGAGTGGTCTAAAGTGATGCTTATCTATTGTGTGAATCATTAACAGACTTCTGTGCTCTTCCTCATGTTCTGCAACTTCTTATAAAGTATACTTTGGGGAAGAAAGAGAAAGAAAAAAACCTTTCAAGTCACATGTAGTCAAAGAAGGTCATAGCTAGCACCCTGCTACCTAAATGACTGGAGCTTGATCGAAGAACGTACTTGTTGGCTAATTTTTCTACAGAGTTAAAAATTAGGGTAAAAGGAAAAAGTCCTGTTCACTTGATTCTTTACTTCTAGAGAACTGTTGTTTTTTTTTTTCGTATGCTGGAATCTCAGCTAGGTGCAGAATTTAATTTTCAGTTTTTGGAAGATCTAATTAGTGTAAGACAAATTCAGGTATCTCAGCAACTCTTGTGGAATGTCTGTACTGCAAAATGTCAAAGCACACCAAAAATTTCTAAAATACGGATCAGCTTTAGCCTGGAATTTTTGGTGGGGGGAGTGGTGGAAGAAAAAGTAGTTGCTTAAACTCTACTTGTGAAACCGTTCTTTGTAGTGGTCGTGGCCTCTCTGTATTTCCCTGTGGTAAAATGTGATTCTGTATGACAGACACTTAGTTTTGTAACTTACCTGGTTCTTTCGTAGCTAATCAGAAATATACGTGTCTTGATTTTGCTATCGAAGTCTGATGAAATACAACAAGGTGTTTTTTTCCAATTACAGAATCGGATGCATGAAAGCATGAAATTGTTTGACAGTATCTGCAACAATAAATGGTTCACAGACACTTCTATTATCCTCTTCCTGAACAAGAAAGATCTTTTTGAAGAAAAAATCAAAAGGAGTCCTCTCACTATTTGCTACCCTGAATATGCAGGTACTGGAAGGGAGTGCAGGTGTCAAGTAATTTGTGGTTAAATTACCTCATTTTTTATGCACAAATTAGGAGGAGTTAAATAACTCTAGATATTTAAAATATTTTAATGAAATAAAGTTTAAGATGGGGGGGTTGTTTTTATGGATCATAAAAAAAATAGCGCTAAGTCAGATTTGTCTTTTTAACCAGGTGAAATAATGCTGGTCCACTGATAGCGTTTAAATGTTACTGCTGCATCTCTTTTCAGCCTAATTTATTTAGCCCATTCCTTTTTCTGATGCCTTCCTATTTTTTGACTTGGATGTAGTTTTTTTTCACTAGAAGGAATCCCTGAGGATACCTGAGAGTTTATATGAACAAGGAGTGTACGTACATGTTAGAAATAGGTGGCTTATTCAGGAAATACATAGCAAAAGAGGATGAATTCATTTAAAAAATTTCAGCCTTTTCATGCATTATTTTCATTGTAACTTCAGACTATTCCGTTGTACAGAAAATAGCACATTGGAGATAAAAATCTTAGGAGAAATATGTATGCAAAATGTCTTTAATTGAGTTTGGGAAATACACAAATCTTTTAAAAACATAAAAATTGAAAGCAAGTAACCCAAATGAAAGAAACAAAAACCCCTAATGTAGGGAACGGTGGTGGGTCATTTTAACGACTTGCTCTGTCTGCCACTGAAGTAAATGGACAGACTCTTCCTGCAGCTGGAATTGAATTGAGTCCTTAGTTTTTGTTCTTAAAAATGTGTCCAAAAGATTTCCTTCAAGATTTATTTATACTATGGTAAAGCAATGGCTGTGGAATTACTTGTCTTCAGGTTTCGGTTAACTATTTCCAAAGAACCACTTCCTTCAGAGATACAGTATGCATCTTGTTCTTTCTCAGTTTGAAACCTGCTTACTGAGCAATTTTTTCCTTCTAGGATCAAACACTTATGAAGAAGCAGCTGCTTACATTCAATGTCAGTTTGAAGATCTGAACAAGAGAAAAGACACAAAGGAAATCTACACCCACTTCACATGTGCCACAGACACAAAAAATGTGCAGTTTGTTTTTGATGCTGTAACTGATGTCATTATTAAAAATAACCTTAAAGACTGTGGCCTCTTCTGAGAACAGACAAAAGGTTGTTAAACGGTAAATTACATGCCTGAAAATAGGACTTAGGCATTTGGAATATGCCCATGCTGTGTAAAACCTGCATAGATATACTTATTCTCTTTTATTTTATTTCTAGGTTTGGAGAACGACTTCGCACAATTATAATCTGATTCTTTTCAAGGTGAAAGAAATACAAAATGCATTGTGCTGAATGATAGATCAGTACTGTACTTGCCTGTTTTAACAGCTTTATTTATGTTTGTCTTGTAAATTTAAGTAATTAGTTAACACTGAGATGTCAGTTGATTGTATGTAAACTTATAATTGTAGTAATGTATTTGTATAAACGTTGAACGGAATATTTTAGTAACTTGATGTCCTCTAAAATTTCCATGTTTTATGAAGATGCTCTTAGAGGAGACAGACACTTTTTGCCTTTGGATTATTTAAACATCTTGTAAAATTAAATTTTCTTTTCATCTTAAGGGTGCATGCTGCCTTATTCTTTACTTTTGTTGGTAATACTGTATATGACGTTAGCTTTTTTGATATTTAAACAGCCTCGTACACCTGCTCAGACTTAAAGAAACATAACCAATAAAACTTGTTTTTTGCCTTAAGCTTTGAAAAAAAATCTTTTTATAAATTTAAGATAAATGCAAAGATTATTTTTTAAATTTAAATGAAATCCACAGTTTATGAAATCTGGGCTTGCAGTCTTTGCAGTGCATGTGTGGCAACACTGAGAAATTGAATTTTACGGTTCAGCTCTCATTGAAGCTGATGGAAATGCAAAAAGGAAGATGTTAAAACCATATTAATTAAAAAAAAAGTTTGAAGCTGTGGTCTTTACTCAATGGAGTGAATGGCAAAATTACCTAGGGGTTTTTTATAGATCATTAACAAAGGCTGGCTTCAGAGTAGGTTTTTTTTTTCTGCTTAAGAAGTAAAATCATGTTCTCCTTAAACTTTTTGCTATTTTCTGGTAATAAAACTAATTTGATAATGTAATAACCATAGAAGCATCAAGTTTTCCCAGAAGACATGGCACAATGGCTTCACAGATTAACGCAGTTTCCTATTGCATATAAGAAGAATCTTCAGTATTTTGGATAGGGTGTTTTAGTAACTTGCAAATGCTGATTTTCTTTATTTAATTTCCTCTTTAATTATAATTAAAGTATCACAATTTCTTTAAACAGTAAGTTAAAGAATATGATTTTCTTCTGGTTACGCATTCATTATGTGATTTACTATCTTAGGTACATATCATCCATTGCCTTATGGGTAGTGCCAAAACCAATTTTTTTAATACAGATTTTAAAATGAATATGCTTCTATTTGTAAATAAGTTCATGAATAGTTGTCTTAAATGTATGTCATCTAGAAAATATGGACGTACTAAACTTGGAAGTATGATTTTTCTATAATTGTTAAAATATTTCAGGCAGCTACAGTACACCGTAAGTTCTTTGAGAAGTAAATAAGTCTTTGAACCTGTTGCTATTTTTCTATATTATCTTAGCATTTATGTTCGTAGAAATGTTAAACCAAAATATTTTAGTCATTGTCCTGTTATTTAATTTTTAATTGTGTGTGTGTTTCACTTAGGCCTCAGCTTGAGTAAAACTTGTCTGCACTTCTCATTCTTTAACGCTTCCTTTGTTAGGTACAGAATTGCTAGATGCGTTTCGAATGAAAGATTAGAAAGGAGATAACTTATTACTGGAGGCTGTTAAATATGTTCATACATTATGAATTCTTTCAGCAGTAATGGTAAGCAATCTGTATATCCTGGGCTGCTTTTAATTGTGCTTTACAGTTCTGGATACATAACTGATTTTAAGTCTCATTGAACTACTTTGTGGAAATTGTATTTACACCTACGTTCAAGTTGGTTTTTGTACTTAATGTAAAACAAAAATTGGGATTAATTGAATTACATAAATAAATCTAAATTTTGTGCCTTGCTTGAAAGAAATGTTTTTCATTAAATGTACTAATGGAAATCTTTTTGTATCTATCCTGTGGAGTATCCATCCTGTGGAGATAACTGGGTAGTAAAAATGAGAACATACAAAGTCAAGAGTAAATTCAAAAACTTTTAACAAGAAACAGTAAAATTAAAATGAGCATAAACTGATGATTATTAATTAGTTCCTAAATATTTTTCCTTTGCCATCGTTCCTAACACTTTCAACTGGAGAACTTTTGGAATTTCCTAAGTAGTGTTTTCTGAAGTATTTACATCTTAAACAGAACAAAATTGTGAAATACTTGTGCTTGCTAGTCCAGGCAGATGAGCTTGTCTTTTCTGACTTGATGAGTGGACAGCAGGTATGTTTCCTTATAGATGCTCTGTACTGGTTGATCATTCTCTGTCCTGAGATGAAAGTTGTCAGCCTAGGCTGCTGCGCTAGGAAAAGCTACAGGAGGATTTATGTGCAATAGTAGGAGCCACACACTTAGTTTTCACTGCAGTTGTAATAAGACTCCACTTCATCTCTGCTCTGTCAGGAGGCTGCTTCTCAGTCTGAGACCACTGCTGAAAATGGAGGAAATCCTACAGGTCTGCCACTGAGGAGGGAGTCCCCTCCAGGGACAGACTGAGTCTTGTCCCTCAGCAATCTGAGCCTCTTGTCTTCCAACTCTCCATTCCTCTCATTTCTTCATGTGAAGTATCCAGGCAAACTGCTTTTACTAGCCTTACACAAGGAAACTCCCTCTACTAGCTTAGATACTCTTTCAGATTATTTTAAATATTCTAAATTTAGTACGTGTAGCAAATTATAACCTTATGTATGGAGGCTTCTTCAGCCCCCGTGGTCTTGTGAGCATGTTGTCTGTGGTTGAAGTCTCTCAGTAAAATGCAGCCATCATTAAACCTGTAGTTGTTTTTAAGAGGCTTAACTGTGAGGAAGTCCGGTTTGGAAAATGTGCTGTTTGGCTTCATGATGCTACCTATTGAATTTAGAGGAAGTTTGATGTTAAATGTAATAACTTCTCAGTAACTAAAACAGGGTCCAGGATCATTGCATGGGAACAGCATAGGATTTGCAGGATTGCAGTTTCTGTTTCCATGTGCGCAATCAGCAGCTTCATGATTTAAGTTCTACATAAACCTTAGGGAGCAGGAGAGATCAATCTGCAGCATGCTGAACAGCATGATGGCTCGGATGCATTTCAAACTGGGGAAAATGAAAAGACAAGTTTCTTTTCCAAATCAAGCAAAAGGGAAACCCTACCAAGATCCTGGGTATCCTACTGTGTGGATGTCTCTTGAAGTTATTATACTTCATATGAATAACTAATAGCCAGTAGGTCATAGAGTAATGCCAGGGTGGTAAACTTCAAATCCTTTACTATTTAATTTTGAAAAAGTGTGGAAGGTGCAACCAGAGGCTGAAAGCAGCTCATCTTTGAATAATTCATAGCCTGCGAGAGAGTGCACTGACAGGTTGTGAATGAGGAAGATGAGACTGGTGAAAGAGGACCCGAAAATCTAAGGGACGTATTTTATTGAGTAACGGAATTACCAGTCATTAGCTATGTCAGTGGCCATAGTTTTTGCAAAAATCTTGGGGTTTTGGACTCTGAAGAACAGTAATACTAAAACTTCAGTTGCCTAGGTGCAAGAAAACCATTTCCAGCTCTCTCTGGAGTTCTTGCAAAGAAGCTGCCTTGACATAGAGGCAACTAGGAGCAGAATTTCAGTTGATTGTGTTTCCAGGTCATGAAAATATGCTCTGTTTAAAAATGGCCGAGTTAAAATGCATTTATCAAGCTTTTTTTATCCATAGCATATTTAGGAGAGCTGCTTTTCAAAGTTGGTCATTGTTCCAGATAAAGTGTTTCTGGTTGGTTTGCTCTGGCATGTGGTTTCTTTTTTGTGGTAGTGGGAAGACTTTCTGACTGTTACCTGACACAGCAGAGATCAGGGTTATTGAGCAGTTGTACTTTAGTAATAATTTGCTTGGACTAAGGCTTGATTCAGATGATTTTTTTAAAGTGCAGTCAATGGACTGAGATCTGTATGAGGTAGTGTAATGCTATGCCATTTTTGGTCATACTCCCTTCTGGATTTTTGGAAGCAAAAGGAGGAATTTCAGAGCAGCTGTTAGAGAAGAAAGATGTCTGTATGCAAGGATGTGCTGATCAGAATGTGCTGTCTGAAATTTGACTGTGTTTTTAATTGCAGTGGAATAAAAGATGTTTAAGACCAAATATGTTGTCAGCTGAAGTCACTGCAGCTCCACAGAACTAGCTGTTCCTGGCTAACTTCTTTATTCTCCCTCCTATTCTGTCTTTCCACTAGTAGAGAAGTTTGGGAAGAGGTGTTGTCACTGTGCTTTCCCACTCCCAGGTTGTGCTATTGTGTAGACATCTCAGGAATGGGTACCTTGAATTCTGCAGAATATGCTGATCTTTCATTTCTTTTGCAGATAAGATTATTACTGTATATTATTATGATCATACAGATGTCTGTGTGTAATGTAAGATTATTAGTATTTATGATGATGATGTAAGAATATGCAGACTGATTAGAGAATAAATAACTGTACTTAAAACTGCATGTGTTTATATTGAAAAGCATGACGAAAAGTCTAAGAAACCAGGAACTTGAGCAGGTGAAGCTTTTCAGTTATGTAGCATATAGTTCCAGAGTGATACACGGTCTGATCAGAAGTCCTTACAGTATGACACAGAGCACATCTCAAATACCTTTTACAAATACGTGTCCTAGCTTTTACAAAATCAGAATGCACTTTGAGGCTGTACGGTACAAATGGCTGACTGGGAGACACATTTCAAATATATAACAAGGTACTTCCAGAAGGGTTTGGCCATTTGTCGAAATAAAGTAGCAGTTATCTAAACTAAAACAAATGAATCATCCATCAGTTTTGTGCATAAGCTCAAAGGTGTAAAAAATTTACCTCAGGAACCATAACATTTTGCTCTGAAAAAATACACGGAGATATAGTCACAGATTCTGACTCTTCCTCTGTTCCAATATAGCGATTCTCTTACAATATGATAAAAGCCCCTGCGAAATCTATTCTAAAAACCCGATGAAGGTAAGTCATCCTGAGACTGTTACATGGTTATGATTGAAAAAGGCTAATACTTGTCTTGTATGCCAGGATTTTCTTGGTAGATTAAAACAAAGATGCAGCTATTCCTGTTTCGATTCCATAAATCACAAGCTTGAAATACTTTGTCTAACTTTCATCGAGAACTTTGTTATTAAAGATAATTTTCCAATTAAAGTAGCATTAACTTTCACTTGGTGTAAATTGCCAAAGCTTATATTTCTTGAATACAAATTATCGATGGATTTATTATAATAAATCAAAATCAGAAGTTAAAAACTGCATAATTTAGAATATACAACTGAACACCAGCAACCAGAAGAACCATATCCAAATTACATTCAGTGACTTTACTGTAGCAAACATATCTGAATATGTGTTCAAGATATGATTTTTGTCCTGTGTATTAAGTGTTAAGATACCTGTAAGTCAGCAAAGATAATTACAACCAGTTTCTAATGCTGATCTTTCTAATATTTTCAGTCTTTAACGAAAATATGGTTTTAAGCCTTCATACTTCTAGAAATGTTG